CCCCCTCACTCAAATTCCCTAAGTGGACCTCCAGCCCAAATAATTGCTCACCCCTGATCTAAGGGCAGAGAGGACAAAGGTTAGGGGAATCTTAACTCCCTCACCTTACTCCTGCACTCCCTCCTCCACCCCAAGTCCCCAGCATACAGCTGGGCTGATGCCACACTGTGTTCCTGCATGCTGCTTTGGGCCATATGGCCATTTACTGCAGATCTGGGGTCATACAGGAGCCATGCCAGCTGCTCTAGCTGCACCCCTGTGATGTAGCCAGAAGTGGCATGTGGGAACATAGCGCAGCACCATGTTAGTGCAGCACATGCCCCTACCAAGCCCCAGCCTTTCAGAATCTGGATAACCTGTGTCCCCCTGCACTCCCTCCCCTGCCAGCAGGGAGAACCTTACCTGAGCTTCGACTCACTGGGGGTTCAGCTTTCTTGTTTGTGAAGAGCTGCATGGCCAGAGCTGCATACAGACATCTTTGCCAAGCAGAATCCTGGCCAGGAGCTTGTCGTCCTCTATCTTGGAGCATACACTGCAGGTTGGGGGGCAGGACAGTATAGCAGAGCTGGAGTGGGGAGTGGTGGCTGCTGCTGTTGCAGCCTGCTGGCATGGGGAAGGAAGTAGGGCGAGAGGTGCCAAAAGCCAGGGCAGCTATGGGCTGGATACAATTTTCCTTCAGAGGAGCAGCTGTGGGCCAGATAAAATCCTTTGGTGGGATGGATCCAGCCCACAAGCCATATATTGCCCACCCTGGTTCTAGAATGGTAGCTTTGTGTATTCTTCGTCTGCATGCCCTCAGTATACAGGTGTGAGAGGCTACTCACACTTATTTTCACTGTTTGTTGATGTGGGTTATACCAGGGGTGTTCCAGATCTTGTCCCCAGTGCTGTATCATCTGGGCCATGAGGCTCCCAATGGATCTGTAGGGAGCCCTGTGAGCTGTGGTTCTATGGGTTAGATTGGGAAAGCAGGGCAGTGGAGGGCCCAATTCTGGTGCGCAGGGGCTGGGTGGGGGCAGCACAGGTCTCCAGAGCCTGATCTTGGTCAGGCAGAGGTGGCATGGGGACCCTGGATCCCCATCCTGGACCCAATCCCAGCTCCAGGACGCAATCCCGGCATGAGGAGGCAGCATGGAACCCAATCCAGTCCACAGACCAGCCCCTCACCATTAAAGTGGCCCATGAGGCCAAAACTGTGAGCACAATTGTGTGATGCTATTTGTGGTTATGGCATGCAGGTGTAAAGGGTAGGTGGATCAGGTTTTGTGTCCACTCATGGGTGACTGGTGCATCTTGAGTCGGGGGGGGCCCACGTGCAGACTGATCCCGCTGACCGGGGGGGGAGCATCCCCCGGTGGCCGATCACGCTGATGGGGGTTGGTCCCTTGCATCTGATCTCACGCACCAAAAAGTGGCCATGCCACTTCCGGAAATTCCACAGCCACTTCTGGAAGCGACGTGGCCACTTTTGTTGGCGGTCCTACTCCCCTGCCGGCTAAACAGGGTGTGTGGCATGACAGGGGATGCACTGGCGCTCTCCCACCTCCATGCACACCCTAAGCGTCGCCACTCACTGACCCTACCTTCCAAAACTGTAAGCATGGAAATGCTGTCAATACCAACTTATACAAAGTTCACTAAAAGGTCAGCCCTTACAATAAGGTCTGCAGTGGGATGGCCCTCAGTTTTAGTGTCAAGTGTGGGGAGTAGGAAGATGCCAGACAGAAGTCATTCTATGGATGCCTTTAATCAATTTAAGATAAAAGTACTTCTTAACATAGGAATCTATAATTTGTCAGGCACCGATCCTTCTGGATCATGGTGAATACATGAGAGATCACCCAGACTTTTGATTCATACACGTAGGCAGGAGTTTTTTGGAGGAGTGGAGGCTTCCCAGAACTTCCACCCCTCTTTAGGGCACTGAAACAGAATCCAAAGTCCAGACTGGGTTCAGACATTTGGTGCCTCCATGGCTGTATTTTGTAGGGCTGTGTGAAACAGCACCATTTCATTTCAACTTCAGTCTGGCCATTTCAAAGGGACAGTGTTTCATTATTTCATTTCGTTTTGAAGCACTGTTCCATTTTGTTTCATCAAAACTGTTTCGCTGTTTTGACACATTTTGACATTTCGCGTGCAGATCGGGGGCCCGTGCCCCCCAGGAAGAGCTGGGGAAATGATCAGAGAGCTGGGGGAAGCAATCAGAGAGCTGAGGAATCAAACAGGGAGAAGTGTCAATATCAGAGAGCAGTCCTTACGCCCTCTTCCTCCTCCCTCTCCTTAGTTTCTGTTTAGCTGCAGCAAGCTAGGCTTTGAAACTTGAAATGTTTTGAAATTTTCAAAATGTTTGAAGCTGTTTTGCAGCCATTTGTTTCATTTCAATTTCCCTGTTTTGAGCTCGAAACGCATTGAAACAGTTTTGAAATGAAACATCCTTTGAAACTTTGCACAGCCCTAGTATTTTTGTATAAGTGTCCAGAAATTGAACCCAGGTCTCCTGTACAAGAATTCTACTACTGAACCACAGGGGACTTCCAGATTCTGTAATAAGTTTGGATAAAAGCCTAAGATTCATTGTAGTAAAAAGAAAAAATCCCTGGACCTACAACTGGTATAGGGAAGGGTCTAAAACAGCTGGGATTGCAACAGCAGCCCACCCATAAAGTAGTGATAGAGACTCCTGGCAGCTTGAAGGAGCAGTGGAGACCCCTGAAGACAGCAGGCAGAGCAACGCTCCCTTGTATCAGTGGCACCAACTCCTGCATAGACCTCCCTAACCAGTCCTCACTATTTTGGCTGGTGTTGCTGGTAGAGCCTCAGACAGCAGCCCTGGGTAAGACTCCCTTCCCCGACTGACTGGACTATGTGGTTCCTCGCTGGGTTGGTTTGACAGTGACTGTGACCTGTTTTGAGTTACAGTTAAGGTTTAATAGTCAAGTTTTTCTGTACAGTGCATATTTCCTCCCCTTTTCCCTTGTAATAAACAATGTTTTAGTTTAACATTTGCTTGTGAATAGGGAAGTTTGTTCTTTTCTCAGGTTTCTGGGTAGGGGCTCAAAATTTGAATAGTTTGTATAAAACCCCTAAATTTGTATAAAACCTCTTTGTAACTGTGGTCTGTTGCCTGGCAGGAGGGTTGCATAAACAAGAAAGGTGTTAAGGCCTCCTGTGATAACAACACCACTAAATAAATGCAAACTCTTGGACCAAACAGCCACCAACACTATTCACAAGTACTATTCAGGCCATGAGCTGATCTTCAGAAACTAGAGAGGGAAACTGAGAATCAGAATACAGTGCAAGCAAGGGTCCTTGTTCTGCAAGTGCTCATGCACACAAGTAGATGTCTGTTATCCCATTGATGTTATTAGGACTACTCATACAAGCAAGGCTAGGCACATGGGTGCAGGATGGAGGTTAGAGAGAGGAACAACTGTTTAACCAGTGTGGCAAGAGAGTGGGAGAAATGGAGAGAGCTTTTCTAAGCAGTTTGCCAATTTATAAAGCTGCAAGATCTTCATAAAAATTGTCATTAAAAGTATTCAGGAAAAGAAACTGTACACTAATCCTAGGAGAAGGGATTAGATAGAGCAGGGCTAATCAAGACAAAGTAGTAAGGACAAACGGACATGGGATAATATTCAAAATCTAAACTAAAGCACTTATATGCAGACTGTGCTTCGCAAGTCACAAGTGGGTTGTCAGCTTAATGCCTGGGGCTCTTTGCAGAAATGTTATCAGCATTGTTTTTTCCTTCCTGCATTCATTGCATTGTATAAAGTACAT